TATCTATCTATCTATCTATCTATCTATCTATCTCTCTATCTATCTATCTATCTATCTATTTATCTATCTATCTCTATCCGTCTGTCGTCTATTATCTATCTATCTATCTATCTATCTATCTATCTATCTATCTATCTATCTATCTATCTATTTATCTATCTATCTCTATCCGTCCATCCATCCATCCATCTACCTATCTATTTGTCTGTCTGACTGTCTGTCCGTCCATCTGTCCATCCGTCCATCCATCCATCCATCTCTATCCATCTGTCCGTCTCTCTCTCTCTCTCTCTCTCTCTCTCTCTCTCATCATCATCATTATCATCTTTCCCCCCACTCTCTTTCTCTCTCTCTCTCTCTCTCCATTCATCATCTGAGCTGCTACACCTTGGGAAGAAAAAGCCATTTTATCCCTTGTACATTTCTACCATACTACCTTAGTAACCACAACCCCCTCCCTTCCACATTCATCATATCTCGAGCCCACAGTCTGAATCATCTAATACCAGTCCAATTTTTTTTCCCTTCTTCAAATTAGGCAGAGAGCCAAGGTGCACAACGTTCATTAAATTCCCCACCCTTTTGCTTAGCTCACAAGGCCAGCCTTGATCAGAAGACTGGTAGCTTCCTGGGGGGAGCTTCCTTTTTATCCCAGGTGAGTGAATAACATACATGCCTTTGACTATTAATTAGCAAATCAGGGCCCTTCAAATGTTATCCAACCCTTCTGATCTCTCTCCCAATCCCTCTGCCTCTCCCTCGCTCCCTCCGTCTGTCTGTCTCTGTGTCTGTCTGTCTGCCTGTCTGTCTGTGTGCGTGTGTGTCTGTGTCTGTGTGTGTGTGTAAATTGATCAACCTTCCGGAGTTTGATAAGACTACATTGGGGGTATTTATTTGATTTATTTTATTTGTCAATCATTTACAAGATAATAGGTATAAGAATAAACATGAATGAGCATGAATGAAATGGGTATGAAAAGAAGGGGATAGTAGGACAGGGATGGGAGGCACGATGGTGCGCTTATGCACTCCCCTTACAGACCTCTTAGGAATGGGGTGAGGTCAACAGTAGACAGTCTAAGGTTAAAGTTATGGGTATATATATATATCTGTCCATAAAATAATTCTTGTTCCCCAAATCTGTTGGGTGGTTTGGAATTTTGGCAACTCAGAGGTGAGAATCCTATTTGGACTTTAAAAATCCCTTTAGGGGACTCCAGCAAGATCCGTGTGACTCTGAAGACCACTAGAGACCAAAGGCATAGAGGGACAGAGCAGAAGGGGGGGGGGATAATCTGGATTTGTTCATCACAATAATGCACAAAGTAAATGCTCACAGTAAGGCTCTGTGTGTTTCTAAAGGAGTAATTTGTGAAAAGGGCTCGAAGACCTGTTGTACCAGCCCAGGGGTGATGGCCTGAAAAAGCATGGTCCCTGCTTTGGGGTGAACCTGCATCCTTGTTTCTTAACCCATGCTGGTTTCAACCACCACAACGACGAAAACAAAACTGGGGAGTTTTGTAAAACACCCCATTAAGTCCGTCCCATTTGGGGAACCAAGGGGATCCTCCTTTAACAACTGGGAGCTCTGCACCCCGATTGCCTCTCCCATAGTCCCCCACCTCCACAGCCATACTGCCTGAGAACCATGGACCCTGTAATCTATGCCATTCTGAGAATGCCAGGTGGAGGGAGGGGGGGCAGTTTTTGAAGACGGGGAGCTTTGTGGAACAGCTTGCCTTCAAAATTTGTGGGTGCTTGAAGAAATTGGATAGTCCCTTGTCTGAAATGGCACAGGGTCTCCTGCTTGAGCAGGGGGTTGGACTAGAAGACCTTCAAGGTCCCTTCCAGCTCCATTCTGATGGAATTGAATTGTGCAACGTTCCTCCCTCCATTCCGTTCTCTTCCTAACGAAGCAGGCGCCCCTTCCTCCTCCCCTCCCTCCCTAAAATAAGGAGGACAGGCCACTTCGGCGGCCCCGCCGGCAGGAAAACCTGTTCCTCCGTATACCTGCCCGCGCAGGTTTGGGTGTGGTCTCCCTGGGGTTTTACTTAGCCAGGCCGACAGGAGGGGCGTCCCCGCCCGCCGCTGGCTTTCCGGGTCGTTTGGGCTACCAAGTTGCTTCTCCCAGGTTCTCCCTGCTGGGGTAAGTGGAAGGGGTGGAGAGGAGCGGGGCTGGATCGGGCCGTTTTCCGCGGGGAGGGTCTTTTCTGGGCGACCGAAGGGGAGAAGAGCTGGTTTCCCTGCGGGCTAGCTTCGTTCTTGGCCGGGAGAGGCAGCCACCGAGCCTCTGACTTGGTTTCGCCTTTCGTTTACTGGCGCTTGGGTTTCCAAGCAGGCTGGCAAGGGGGCAACGCGTCTTGCCCCGCGATGCCTTCGGCTGGCACGGGAGGGCCGGGCGAAGCGGGGCTCCCCCATGGGTTGATCTGGGCCTCTCCAACCCGAGAGGGAGGGGGGAGTTTAAAAAAAACTTTCTTAGCAACTTCTGTAGTTTCCCCGAGAGCAGCGGACAGCGGCTTCTTGGATCGCGATTGATTGATGTTGTTTTCCCCCACTTTGCAAAACCACCAGAAGCAAAAGAAACCGACGCCTCGGGTGGCACTTGAGTCATTATGGCGGGCATTAAAACAAACGCAACGCGCGCACACACATCCTTAGTGGCGCTTTGGTGGTTCTCCAAAGTCGCTTAGACGCGCCTGGGTTGAATCGGGAACTCCCAGCTCTGGATTTGCCCTCCTTTCACAGCAAGGTTCCCTTCAGAAAATGGGGCCAATCTCATTTAACCGCTGCCTTGCTTAGCAGGGGAAATTCGGGGCTCAGTTGTGAGGACTGCCTCTCCTTGCAAACTTTGGCCTCCCCAAGTAACCGTGGCGGCTTGAAAAACAAGGCGAGTCTCCTATTTTGCATCCCTAGCAGGAAACCCGGAACCTTTTGTCAAACAATTGCATCACCTCTGGCTATTGTTGGTGGAGAAATGCAGAAATTTTTCAGCCTCGCCTGAGCAGGGAGAAAAAAAAAAGGGGGGGGGGAGTAACTCCCAGTCCGGATTAACTACGAAAGTGTTTTCTGCAGGCAGGTTTAATGGCCTTCGGGTAATAAAACGGATTATTCTCCCCTTGCTTGTATTCAGAGGTTGATTCTGCTATTGTGTAGAAAGGAAGTCGGACTTTTGTCCTGGACAAAGTTTTATCTAACGACATGGGGTTGTGTGTGTTTTCCTTGATCTTGGTCTTTGGGAGACCTTGTTTCCCTGGGGGGGTTGGGGGGGGGGAGGCAGCAGGAGGAAAGAAAGCAGAATGGAACCAGATCAGAAAGCCAGAGATTTACACAAGGGGTGGGAAGACAAGGGACTTAAGAACATTTTTATCTATCTATCTATCTATCTATCTATCTATCTA